GCCTCCAACGCCGAAATGAACGTTGTTGTTCCCCAGCGGACGTCGCGCGGCGCGGCGCGGTCGCGAGCCGGGCAGCAAATATTTGTGCACGACGGCCGGAACAATGGCATCGCCCAGCGCTCGCCGGGCAGAAACAAGGGCGCGAGCGGTCGCGCGGGGGAGCGGGGCGCTGCTGCCAGGGACGGGGGGCGCCTCATGGCTGCCTCGCGCGTGCGGCCCCCCCCCGCGAAGCGAAGCGAGCCCGTGCGCCATCTAATCTATAAAAGCCGCGATTTTCTGCCTTTTCGCCCCCTCCCCATCTCTAGCCATCCCCTCACTGTCCCCGCTGCCCTCGTCGTCGTCCAAGCCGACCCCGTCGCTCGCCCCCGCATCGCCCCCGGCCCTCTCAAGACCGGCCCATCAAGCACGCGCCCCGCTAGCGCCCGTTATTGTCCAGCAAGTCTCCTCCCACACCTCCATCCCAGTCTTCAGCCATGTCTTCCTACGTGTCCTCTGAGGAGATCGTCGTGCGTATCTTCTGCGTGGCTGCCACGCGGCGCAGGGAGACACCCATAGCTGACCGTGGCCTTGCGCAGCCCGGCGACATCGTCGCCGTCTCGAACTCGGGCGTGCGCCGCGAGGGTCTCGTCGTCGGTTCCCACATTGACTACGCCGTGCGTTCTGGCCCTTTCCTTGGTGAACTCGCGCGCGGGAGCTAAAGCACGTTTTGCGTGCAGGGCAGGCAGGTCGTGGAGGTCCAGCTGGACGGCGGTGAGATCTACAATGCATGGTATGCCGTCTTCTTCCGTATCCCCCCTCTGCCCTTGTACTCCTTCGTGGGGAGAAGGGTCTCTTGTCTAGGCTACGACCACAGCGCGGATGACCTCGGACTCATCATCTCGTCCTCCTCACGCAGGTACCCCTCCGTGACGCGCGTGCGCCGGACGATTCAGTACACCCGCCCCTTGCCGCAACACAAACGCACCATCGAGCGCACCATCTACTGGTGATCGCGCCCCCCCCTTCCTCTCCCCAGCCCGACTGCCCCTACGCGCACCAGAATGACACGGCTGGGCACGGACTCCCTGGACTGCATGGCCCGCGACTCACGCGCTCCCTACGCCTCGCGCCCTGTGCGGGGTGCGGGTGCGTGTCCCCCCTCTCCTATCCCCCTTACGTACCCCGCCGCCCGCCCCCGCGTGTGGTGTATGATCGTGTGTAGCGTGTAGCGTGTCTGTGCGTCGGACGGCGCGGCGCGCGCCCACCTGGTACTCTCTTCCTCCAAGCGTCGTCATCTCTGGTGATGGTCTGAACCCTGTGTCTCTTCGCGTCCGCGTTCTTTTGTAACTATCGTTCTTTTTTTCTGTGTTTTCTTTTGTTTGTTTGGCTCTGGAATATGTATGTAGACACAACACACCATCATCGCACTCTGGCTTCGGTCGCGGGCGCTGCAGGTTCTGGTTCTGTCGTTGTCGTCGTTGTTGTCGTCGTTGTGCGCACCCGTGGGGTACATGGGGAGGGCTAGAGAACGATCGCGACCCCGCCCTGCGCCGGACGTCGACCCGGGCTGCTCCCGCAGTCTCTTCGAGTCTGGCTTGCGACGACGACGACGTGTGAGTTGAGTCAACATGTTCAACGTGCCGGGAGAGAGAGCTGGTGTCCTCGTGCCTCGTATTATACGGACATCGCTCGGCGCCCGCTTTGCCGCAGTGAAATAAATACGCGAGTCCTCAACGAGCGTTCAATCGATTGCTCGGCCCTCACTGCGCTCACGCTGTCTGTTCGAGGACTTCTCCTTCTCCTCTGACCCACCCCCCGACCCCCCCCCCCCCCCAAGCTGTGGCGGCTCGCCAATGGTGTGTGTAGGGGGATACGTACAAGGCACGGAGGCGTGCTAGTGAGTAATAGACGACGGCGGACGGCGGACGCGCGTACGATGGGTGTGTAGTATATAGTGTAGCGGGGTGGGGGCACAGGAGAGCAGCGAGAGGCGAGAGATGTGGAATGTGGGGAGGGATGAGAGGGGGGAGGAGAGGGGGGAGGAGGAGGAGGAGGAGGGGAGGGGGTGTCGCATGAGATAGAGTAAACCAATAAATGTAATAGCAGCAGTCGGGGGGGCGGGGGGGCGGGGGGCGGGACGTTCCCCGAGCGGGCACACACACAACGGAGTCGGCGGCCTCCAGTCCAGTCCAGTCCAGTCCTGCGAGTCCTACGCCCGCAGCGACGGGGAGGGTGCAGCCTGCGCCTGTGAGACAGGGTGTGCCGCGGGGTCGCCCTGCGAGATCGAGATCGAGCGCTTGCTCTTGCGCAGGCGCGCCGACCCGGACTTGCTCGACGGCGTGGGCGACAGCGGGGGACGCTGCGGCGAGACGGGCGGCTCCGCGCCGCCGTTCGGAGGGGTGTGCGGCCGGGACTGCTGATGGGATGAGTGGTGCGAGTGGTGGCGGTGGTGGTGTGGCCTGCCGTTAGGCACGGCCGCCGCCGCCGCTGCGTCGCCGTTGGTGTGGACAGTGGACACCGATGTGGACGTGGACGTGAACGTGGACAGAGAGGACGATGTGGATTGGTGGCTGTGGGAGGTGTGCCGCGAGCTCGCCGTGGCGGTCGTGCTCGAGCTCTCCGTGCGCGACATCGGGGGCGCGCTCGGGCGTCGGTGCGCCGAGGTCCGGCGCACGACGCGCGGGCCGACGACGTTGCTCTTATCCCGCTCGTCCTGCCGCTCTCTGCTCTCCCTCCTCCGACTCAAGTCTCCATTGGTCCTGCTGCTCTCTCGCCGCGCAGGCTCCGGCCGCACCGGCGCCTGAGCGTGCGCCTCCTCCGGCTTGACGGTCTCCTCGGAGCCGCGCGGGGAGCCCGTGTACGGGGACGCGCGTGGCTGCTGTACGCGCTCGTAGTACAGCATGAACGCCCCCGCACCCTCCTGCAGGACGCGCTCGATCCCGCACTCCTGCACCGCGTCGTCGCTGATGCGCAGCCAGCCTCGCCCGGGGTGCGAGCCTGCGCTTGGGTCGCCCTCGTCACGCACGGGGCCGTAGCGCTCGCACTTGGCGCAGTCGCAGCCGAGAGGGCAGGCGAGCTGGGGAGGGGCGAAGCGTCGCTCGGGGACGGATGGCGGGCGAGGCTTTCGTCGGAAACAAACGTAATGTCCAAACGAATGTTGGCCGTAGTGGCAGACAACGGCGGAGAGACGGTACAACGTTCGGGGCACGGCGTACGTCGAGGGTGTTGGCGTGACGGAACGCTGGATGGGGAGGGGCGGGGGAGGAGAGGAGATTGGCGATGAGGGCTGGGTGGAGAGTTGGCCGGAGGTGGTGAACGGCGTAAGGTCGAGGATTTCGGGAAATACTACGCGGCAGTTGTTTTTGGTGGCGTGGTGACCGTAGTGCATAGATCGATTGAGGTGAAGCGCTAGGACAGGCGGAGGCTGGGATACGGATAAATTAGACACTACACATGTAGTAGCGAGAAAAGGACGCACGCGAGCAATCATAGCCTGCTTCGTCGAAGCCCTGCTGAAGACCTTCTCCATCTTCACACCCTTGATGTCCTCTTCAATCCGGCCCTCGTCTATGGCTGCCTTGACGCGGGCCGAGAGTTTTCTCGCGTCGCGAGCACGCTTCTTCTTGGAAGAGGTTGGGTCATTAGAAGCTTGCGATGCTTCCGTTAGTCTATCTGCCTCCTGCTCTAACCGGTGTTGGGTGGCGACCATCGAGCATTTCCGACATATGCAGTCATTCAGTAACTCCAACCTCGTGTAGTCTTCGAGACAGTCCTCGAGACGGCACGCAGCCTGGGGCCTGTCAGTGAGTAGCTGGATGAGGTAGAAGAGTCGTACGTACCGCCATGCGGGGCAACGCAAGTTGCCAATTGTCGAATGGGAAGTGCATCACCGCTTCCGTGTACCCGCACTCCATGCAGCTCCGCCGGTTCGCAGTCAGCCCGTCAAACACCGTCTGGTCACGGATGGTGAGAGCCTCTTGTTTCGTCAGTGCCCCCAGGCCGCGGTCCCGACGGCTCTCTTTCGCCACGGCGGTAGCCTCATTTTTGATGCACTCTGAGAGGAGTTGGAAGAGCTCCTGCGCGTCCTGATGCTCTCGAGAAGAGAACAGGGAATTGTGCTTGCCCGGACTATGGTTGGACAACGCGGAGATGATGTCAACCGGGCGTAATGGACGGGAGGAGGAGGCGGGCGTGTTCAGGACTGTCATGGGTTCATCGTCAGGCAGAGGACACGTGAACAAGGGGAAAGTACGGACTGCGAACGAGCTCACGTAACGAATCGATTACGGGGGTGGGGACGTCGAGAGCCTCTGCCCTAGCATGAATCTCCTCTAGTTGCGGTTGCAGATATACCAACGAGGCCATAGCCTTTTGGGGCGTGAGCGGAGGGCTAGTTTGTGGCGGCAGTAGATATACACACCTGAAGAGTTGAGTTCATGAAGCAATATGTTCCAGAGATGTTGACAAGACCGGGGTAGTGGCCATCCTCTGGCAAGCCTTCGTAAGATTTCTCTGGAGGAGACTGTTGTCAATAGAGAGAGTATTGAAATGACGTCGTGCAACACGTACCCTGGCCAGAGGGCCGGGCGGCTTGTTCATCACGAGTACGTACGTGCTTTCGCTTGAGTTTCTTCCTGTCCGCGTTGTTGGAAGACGAAGAGTTATCGGACCAGTTCCAGGGCAAGATGAGAGCAAGCGAGTCGAAGACCATCGAGAATGTGGCGGCGATCGAGTGACGGTAGGTGTTGAGGACAAGGACGAGAGTGGGAACAAAGACGAGGAAGACCAGCGGGGCGATTTGTTGGAAAGCTGGATTTGAGAGGACTAGGTAGGCGATGTGTTCCAGGTCGCCGTGCAGCAGCATTTAGCTCAGATCGGCAAGTCTCTAAGCACCGACAACATGGGGCTCCGGCGTAAGAGACAGGAACTTGCAAGTGTACGTTACAGAGCCGGTCAGGGACGCGGAAGAATTGGGCGCTGTCAAACGGCTACGTGATCCATATGACGCCCCCTTACAGCATGGCTACCTGGCGCAATGGTAGCGCGTTTGGCTTCGATCGCCGACGGATACCAAAAGGCTGCAGGTTCGAGTCCTGCGGTGGTCATATGTTTTGATATTTTTTGAGCATTGAAACCTGTAGTGATGGCGGTGGCGGTGCATACCGTGGGAATGTCCGACTTTGAGGTAGCTGGCTCTCCAAGGCAGAGATCATCCTGCTGTACATTTGACACTACAGACCATGTTTGCTCCAAAAGAAATACAGGATGAGGATAATCATGCACGAATGCGAGGCTGGGGTGCGAGGCGCTATGCACTGCTCGTCCTGGGTGGGTACTGATGTGGTAGGCGCGGGAGATGCGGGCCGGAGACGCGGTTGAACGCGTCTGTGGCTGGAGCTGTTCCGTTCGAACAAGCGGGATTGTCGAGTGTTGTCTGGCGTCGCGCGTCCTTGTGCCGACTTGTGCTGAACGTGAACGCCGTGCTTCTTGGATATCTCGCACACATGGCCGCCACCGTCCTTCTCTCCCGACACTCATCCAACCCCCTCGAGCTCCCCTCCTCCGACAACCGCAACAGGGCCTACCTCCGCCAACTCATGGACGTCCAGCACATGACCCAAGACCAGCTCTCCTCCGACGACCCCCTCAACCAGGCCGCCCTCCCAGAACTCGAACGCTATCACTCGCACCTCGCTGAGCTCTACCCAGACGCACAAACATCGACATACCAGTACAGCGCGTCCCACGATGCACCGCACGCGGACCCAGATCTGGATGCGGAGGCAGACGAAGACATGCTCAGCGACGATGCCGGCTCGGCAGACGAGGACATGGAAGAGGACGACGAAGAAGAGGAAGAGGACGAGGACGACTTTGACGACGGCGGCGGGGACACTGACGAAGAGCTCAGCATCTACCTCAAGCCCCGCGACGAGCAGCTCGAGATCGAGGAGGAGATCCTCGACCTCGAGACCGCCGTCCCCCAGCTCACCGAGGACTACAAGATCATAGACCGCCTCGGCACGGGCACCTTCTCCGCCGTATACAAGGCCATCGACCTCGGCTACCACACAAAGTGGGACAACGCCGAGTGGCACGGCCACCACCCGCCCAGCTCCTCCGCATACTACCAGACCGCGCCTAGCCCGCCCGGCAGCAAGGTCTTCGTGGCCATCAAGCGCATATATGTCACCAGCGGCCCCGAACGCATCCGGAACGAGATCCACATCTTGGAGGACTGCAGAGGCTGCCGGCACGTCTCCCAGCTAATCACCGCCTTCCGACAGCACGACCAGGTCGTGGCCATCATGCCCTATCACAAAAACGATGACTTCAGGGTGAGTGCAGCATCGCCGAACGCGAACGTATGTCCATAGATGACGCATACAAGCAGGATTACTTTAGGTATCTACCGCTAGAAGGCGTGAGGGCATACTTTCGATGTATGTTTCGTGCACTCCGCGACATCCACTCGCGGGGCATCATCCACCGCGACGTGAAGCCCGCGAACTTTCTCTTTGATTCTCGAACAGGTACCGGCACGTTGTGCGACTTTGGTTTGGCCTGCGTAAGCGCTCCTTGACCCTTCATGTTCTACTCATCAAACTGAGGGCGTGCAGCGAGCGGAACGCGGACCAACCCTGGGCGCATGCCTGCACACAATACCAACCCGCGAACACCCCCACGGTCGTGTAAAGCCAAGAACAGAACTCGATATCGATCACATCAAACGCATGCAGAAAGAGGGCCGATTGCGAAGTGCAGGACACTCGGACAAGGTGGGTTACCCCGAAAAGGACACGCGGTAGGACCTTCAGCCCTTTCGTGCCTGTGTACTGGCTGGACGCGATCTCGACAGACCGCATTCGAAAGCGAACCGCGCAGGGACAAGAGGCTTCCGCGCGCCAGAAGTCCTTTTGAAGTGCGGCGAGCAGACGGGAGGTGCGTTCCACTAAAGTGAGACCACAACAGCAAGTCCGGTGGCTGAGGAATGCCCCAGCTATCGACGTCTGGTCTGCGGGCATGATCCTGCTGTTCTTCCTCACAAAGAAGTTCCCGCTCTTCCAGTCCAACGACGACACCGAGGCGCTCATGGAAATCGCAGCGATCATTGGGCGCCGAAAGATGGAGAAGACGGCTACTCTGCATAGTGCGTCGGGCTGCTGCCTCGCCAACCTGACGCTGACCCGTCACAGGTCGATTGTTCCAGTCCAACGTGCCGTCACTATCCCAAGAGGGCATCTCTTGGAAAGAGTTCGTCGAGCGCCAGAATCCCGACCTCCGCATCCCTCCCGAGCCCGAGCCGTCCTACTACCCGTACACACTCCCCTCACACCGCAGCCGCACACGACCCCCGCCCCCACCATCGTCCTCGTCGTGCTACTCCCCCGCACCGTCCTCGCCGACGGACGGCCGCGCGCCGTCGCCCACGCCGTCGGAAACGGAGCGCTACGCGGGCGAGATCGACGTCGCGCTCGACTTTCTCGAGAAGGCCATGGAGCCGGACTCGACGCGGCGGATGACCCCGCGCGCGGCGCTCTACCATCCGTTTCTGCGCGAGGAGGACGCGCCGCCCGACGACGAGTTCGTCCCGCACCCCTTCGGGGACGGCCCGTGCGGGGAGCTGCACTTCATCGACGACCTGGAGGAGCTCTGGGTCAAGGTCAAGCTCGACGGCGTCCCGGGCATGGTGATGAGGAGGGTCCAGCCCGGGCAGGGCATCGCGATCGGGAGGCAGCCGTGCGAGTTTCACCGTGGGTGGCCGGACTTCAGCTGAACGGAGGGGAGTTGGTTTCGGTAGGCACTTACGGATGTACGCGAGCATAACGACACATACATACCACACAACGTTTCTGGCTGGCACTCGAGCGCCGTTTGCGCGACGGCCGCGTGGAGCGCGAACGGTGTGGATTGCCTCGACGCCGCGTGCGCCTCCCCGGTTTACCCTACTAGCTATGGATACAACATGTTTGGCGGCAGCAAAAGCAAAAGCAAAAGCAAAAAAAAACGAGAATCCTATTAAAATGATCCATCTCGTGGTACCGTTGCTCGACATCCAGCTCCCCCCTCCCGGAACAAATCATCATCAGCATCATCATCATCGCTCCGTATAATGTGGCGGGACCTCCGGCAGCGCAACGTCAGACTGCGCGTCCGCCGCCCGTCCAGGCGACGGCGGCACCCGAGCTACCACAGCCGACCCGCGCGCCGGCGGGGGCACCACCGGCGCAGCGAAGCGTATCCCCGAGTCCGAGTGGAACACCGGCGGGCCGTCCGGGCCCATCGGCGGCGGCGCACTCGGGTCGTCCCGCCGCCGCGCCCACGCCTGCGCGCGGGGCCCGCCCTCGGCCTTTTCGACGTCGTCCGGCGGCGCCCAGCCCGCGAGCGCCTCCGCCTCGGAGTCCTCGTCGACGTTCGAGAGGCCGAGGGCGGGGGGGCGGCGGCCCGTGCGTGCGACGTGCAGGCGGGGCTTGGCGGCGCGCGGGCGGGGGACGGCGGAGGTCGGGGAGGGCGGGGCGAGGAAGATGCCGACGAGGTCGAGCGAGCCGGAGTGGGGGCTCGAGAGCGTCGAGCGGGTCTCTTCTGTGGGGTAGAGCGACAGGGAGGCGGTCTCTGAGGGCGTGGGGTAGGAGTAGGGGTATGCTTGGGAGGCGCGGAGGGAGAGGGACGGGGCTGGCGGGTCGCGGAGGTGCCTTACGGCGCGCGTCGAGACCGGGGCGGGGGACATGGGACGGGTCAGGTCTGGTTCTGGGATGGGCCGTGCCACGGTCAGAGAGCACGGGGAGGGAAGAGGGCACGGACGCACCTGAATCTGACTGGGCGACCCTCCTCGGGCGAGACACACGTCTCCCTCGTCGTCTCCCCCACAGAAAGGCCACGGCGACGATGAGCGAAAGGCCGAAGATGCCTACGATGACCTCGCCCACGATCGGGCCCACTGCCAGCCTGTGCGGCTCGGGCCCACCGCTACCACTCGCGGCCGGCGCACCGGTGTCACTCGCTGCGAGGCCCGTCGAGTACGGCGCGGTCAAGGTGAAGGTCCCGGTCGTGCTGCTGCCCACCGGCGTGTACTGGATAAAGTCCAGGATGAACGGCCAATCGCTGTCGCCAAAGTCGACCACGATCTGCAGCGTGTGCCCGAACGTGCGCTCGAGGTTGCTCTCGCGGAACCACAGCCATCCGAACACGGGCGTGGTGCCTCCCGCGTGGTACGGTGGCACGGTCGAGCTGGCCGGGATGCCGTCCAGGACGATTCGCACCGCGGGGGGCGAAATCGTGTCTGAGCCAGACGAGTTCCCAATGGGGGCGGGGAGCGCGACGCCGTAAAGCGCAATGTCCGTGCCTGTGGGGAGGGTGTCATTACATCCGTCGACGGACAAGAGCTCTTGTCAGGTGGGGGCAGTAGTAAGAGAACAAGTGCGCGACGCACCGTCAAACACAATGGTGGCCGTGGCGTTGGTGTAGCCCCTGGAGCAGGTATTGTTCACCACCCCGTCCTGCCCCCGGAGGTGGGTCCAGGTCGCGCCCGGGCTGTACTTGATGAATGAGTCCGCGGAGTCGTCGACGACGATCACTTCCGCGACACCAGGACTAGCAGTAGTGAATGGCATTAATTCCGGTAGCTCGCTGCGGCCGCAGCACACCTCGTTGGGAGGCGCAGCAGGATGGGGGAACTAGCGAGAGTTATCGACAGCGGGCGAGCACTCGGAGGTGAATGGAAAGATGGCCATGCCCGAGCCGCGAGCGAGCAGGCATAGGCCCTGCCAACGGGTATCAAACGCTGACTCGCCGGCCAAGACGGGGGCGGTCTGGCGCGGACACGGTCGCCGTCGGTCTGCTCCGAGTAACCGACGCCTTGAAGATGGCCGATGCTGTGTGCGTCGGGTACGTCAAAGCATAGTATGAAAACATCAAAACTAGCTGTCAATCTCTAGTGTATACTGTACCAGAACATACCCTGGACCTCCTCCTTATAAGCCGTGCCGAAGAGCACGTCTCTCAAGCTGATCGTGGGTGTTCCAAGATCCCCGACGCTGTGGCTGTTCGGTATATTACACCAGTCACACGTGCAAGTACTTCGCATCAGTCCGTGTCTATTGACAAA